TATAAGGAAAAACTGACCATAATGGTTATATTTTCGTTTCCTTACCTTTTTTCTAGTTATAAATGATTAGGTAAACTGTCTTGTGAACCAACAGCATGCACCTTGCATGACTTGAATGTGACATCTATCATTTCAAAACATGTATGAAGTTGTGTCCATCCCATCTCTATACAGTATTAATGCCTTTAAAAAAAACACTAATTGTTCAAGATAATTCTATAATTACAAGATTTATAACTACTATGATGTGAATCCCTTAAATAACTTCATACTCTAAAATGACATCACATCTGATCTTAGGTATCACATCACAATTATTAATCAAAATCATTTATGAATCACGCCTTTTCAAGTAAAGTACTTTTAAGGAATGCTGGTACTTTATTTATTTCAACCAGAAAATATCTCTTAAAATTGATGTATATATGATGAATGCTACTTATGTTGACAGATATAAGTAGTATATGACACAACTCAGAAAAGGGAATGCCTTGGCATCAGACGAATGAGAAGTACAGTAATATAAAAGAGAGAATAATTGTAATGACAATACAAATGAAAGAACGATGACGTTTGCAAGAGTGACAATTAATGAATGATATACAAATGATGTATTTATCATTAAATCAAACTACTAAATATGGTGTTCCATTTATTCAATCTATGAATGTACCTAGTCACACATTATTAGATGAAGAAAAGATAATGAAATGAAAATCAAAACAGAAGAAATAATACAAAATTGAAGAGATATGATTTAGTGAAGTATATACTGTCATTCAAATGATTTATTTGTTTACCTGATAGGATCCATAAACAATGTGTGTATGTGTATATTTACTTTGATATTATATATATTATATATGAAAAATATTGTTTACATTTTAGATTAAATCTATGATAATTAAACTCACAGAAAATAAAATAGAAAATGTATCCATGACAAAGTTCAACAAAGGAGCAAAGACTTGATGATTTACGATTATTTCTATCTAAGTTAATCAATGAATAAAAAGGATGAGATCCTTCATCAGTGCGTATCTATGATCATGCATGCAGGACTCGAATCCGAGACTGTCTATCTCTCATGTGAACATTTTACATCTAGATTAATGAACTGGCATTCATTGATGTTAATAATTAACTTCAACCAGTCTCCAATATTGTGTAACCATCTTCTGTCTTCGGTTGATAAATGCCTCAAATCCGGGTGCGAGATGGTAGATGCTCACTGTTAGGAAGTGTCATACTAGAATAAAACGGTTGTCCAGTACTTTTAGGTTTTTAATAATGGTCTAACATTGGTCAATTCATCATCTTAATCAAAAGTCAACAATCTCCACGACTCTACACAGAGAACAAAAAGTAGTTTGGATTTCAGAACTTTCCTACAGATTTTTTAGGATTGCGATTAAAATATTTGAACATATTAACAGTTAATATTCAAGTTAATTATCAATGATTTCATGGATTGATACGATGTTTTTTTTAGTTCATAGGCCTACACTAAATTTGTTATTAATTCATTATCATATAAACAAAATGATTTGTTTTAATACATCTTCACAGTTATTTATATGCTTACTACTTTTTTATCGTACGTCTGATGAAAGTCATTTGTTTCTTTAAAACATATTAATTCAATTAAATAGACTATCCAGCCTACTTATTGGTTGTATATTTTATACATTTATATTTACCTTATTTCAAACTTTGAATATGGATAGATTAAGTGAAGGAATTAGGAAATTCTTTTTAATTTATAGTATACATTAAAACTAAACTTCCGTTATTTATGTATTAGTTAATCTATATAAACAACTGACCAATACTAACAGTTTTTTATCAGTATATAGTAACTTTGTAGAGTGAGTTAAATTTTACAATTTTTATCACAGACTGGCTTTAGCTAAACGATTATTGAAAACTAAGAAACACTACCCAGCTATTCAGGATTGGGTACTAAAGGAATTGACTGAGAATTAAACCCATGAACTTTGTGTCTCATGGTAGGTTCTTAAACTTAAGGTCATCAAGTTGATATATTTTGGAACATATTTTAAATTTCAATCAATTCTCCATGATATACATTCTTCTTTCAATCCAAATGCTAAGTAACTAGCTCACACCTGGTATGATTGAACTTCACTGATCAAGGTTCTTTACTGAAGATTCAAACATTATCTCGTGAAATCAGTTAGCTTTAAGCCTACAATTATTATTTATATACAGGATTTTCTGAAATAATCGAATCTTAGGCATTAACACCGTTGGATACTGGCTCAGTGGTCTAATGGTTGAGTGCTCGCGTGCAATACTGATAGTTTCTGCCTTCAAATCCCACGAGGAGTGGGATCGTGGATGCCCACTGCTGGGGAGTCCCATACTAGGACGAAAATGTCGTCCAGTGCTTTCAGATTTCCCATGGTGGTCTAGATTCAATTGACTGATGATTTCAACTATTGAGATAACTAATAATCCTTCTTTTTTAATTAAAACATTATTTTAAACGAAGTTGGAATAAAAAAGTCAAACTAGTACATTTTTAACCCTTCACAATAAAATGGAATTCATAAACTCTATATGATTTACATGCTTGAACAAAAACACAATGTATAGTATAATAAGTAATGAATAAATTTGTTTAATATTTTTCTATACTCAGCAATATCACAGTTGGAGACAATATATATATATATATATATATATATATATATATATATATATATATATATATATATATATACGGGTAAAAACGTCATAGTAATCATTAGATGTCGATATTTATTAAAACAATATGGCGACAATCGAAATAAGTAGACAATATTGATTTAGTGGTTAATATGAATTAATGATAGAAAGAAATGTTGGTTACTTTTTTAAAAATAAAAAAATAACAGAAATAATTATTCTTTTCTGTTAGGATATTAACAACATTTTACGTCATTTTAAAGATAAAACCTGAAATAGTTTATATATATATATATATATATATATATGGAGAGAGAGAGGCATCTTGGAGGTTGACACAAATACACACATATCCACGTTGTTAGACTTCTCGCCAGCACGGCGAGATATGTCAGTAATTAACAAACCTTTAACAGAATTTGAGCTCCACATAATTCACCCTGATTTCCTATTGTTTTAACTGTTTTCTCATTTGATTTTTATTTTGTTTGGCTTTCTAAGTTATAAACTGCGTTTTGAAATATAATTTGGAACTATTAATGACTCAATCCTGTGTCAAATTTGACAGCATGCTTCACTTGGTAAGGAACTAGAAGCTTTTGATACAGATACATGCTATGCTTTTGAAATATACCTATAACACTACTTTTGGTCAATCAAACAAAATGAAGTCATTTGGTTCAATCAATATTTGTTTTCAAGTTATCACTCAGTCGAATGATATGAAAAATGCCAATCACCTGGTATAAATAACTAAATCTTGTATTTAAGTTTGATAAAGTGAGTACGAGATCACGAATTATCATAGTTTCATCCGTTTATTTCAAACTGTTGACTAATTTAAACCCATCTCTCTTCAACGAGAATTAAGCGTGATTGCTAGGTCTTAAGTCTATTGGCACTCATCTACCACTTTGTATATAAACATGTTGCTTTATTAAAAGAAATCCTGTTCGTCTATTTCATATAATTTTATTAAAGTGTTTGAATTAATAATCCCATATCGTGAGAAATCATTTCTCAGCTTCATCACATCAGTATCATCGAACCAATAAATTACTTACTTACTTACGCCTGTTACTCCTAATGCAGCATAGGCCGCCGCGGAGTTAAACCAACAAATCCTTATTCGTAACAGCAGTGATAAGCTATTTAGCATTTCAATAAATACGATACTGCTAGGTACGTTCAAGTTCACGTAAGTATAATGTTTAGCAACAATATGATATTTCAGAAAACATAATTAATTTGAAAATTATTTGAATAAGGGCAGTTGACAAATGTCAGTCTAACTCATTAAACAAGATTATAATTTTATTCACTCAGCTTTAACCTATACATTTTTTTCTACAAGCTAACAACTATACTGTTATGAACAAGAACAAAGGCGCGGACAACCAAGTGTATCTTAGTTAAACATAACAGTATATCTTCATAAAAGCTGAGAATCATACAGTAGATATTTCATTTGCAAAATGTCAATAAATTGTGTTAGACTTTGTTGTTCCTTCGTTTCCACACCAATTACTCTTTGTTCTTATTTACTTTTCTTCGATTTCCTCAACCTTCTACCACCAAACATTCCACTTTCGATTAATGATACATCCTACTTATATCTATCGACATCAGTAGCAAACACCACAGTACCCATTTGCTTAAATAAAGTAGTTTGAACGAACTTTAAACTTACAATACAGTGGTCAACGATTAAGTTGTCATTTTCAAATTTATGTAGGGATATAAAAAGAAAACCTGAATATATATTCTTACTTTCAATTAGCTCATTCACTTCATGAAAATTATAAACGTTTTATTGAACAATATAACTCAATTGTTGATTAAAAAATTTTTGAAAAGAACTATATAAACTCAGGTTTTCCCACTAAATATCTCATGAAAGACTAAGTATTATAACAAAATATTTCGACCTAAAAGTAGATCATTAAAAAAAAGCAATATTGTCGATAATATTTCACAAGCTAGTAGCTATCAGGACTCAGTAGCTAGGTGGATAACTCGATGGCCTTTGAAATGGACGATACTGGTTTCGAGTCCTAGGGTGAAAATTAACTCTGGAATGCAGGTACATTCAGCTGACGAGTCCCAAATACGATGAAACACGCGTTCTAGATTCTACTGCTAACCATTATCCACTTTTGCTTAAGATAATATCGAGGCAATACGCACAGTATGCCCATATACCAACAAGAGACTGATCAATTTCAGACGTAAACATCAATGGGATAATTCAAATAAATAATACAAAAATAAATTAATACTGTCAACAACTTTCTTTCTCACTTACTTACATCACATGAATATTCAATAGTTTGTTTAAGTTTACTATCAGTACATTTCTCATTTGTTATTTTATTTTCATTTTCATGATCATCATAATCCATTTTTTTATTGTTCGAAATTTCATCATATTCTGTATTATTGTTAGATAAGGTTGTATTACATGAATTACCTTCAATTTGTTTTACTTTCATTGACTGTCTTGCATGAGCCAAACGTCTAGCTGATGGGGAAACACAAAAATGTTTCCAATCTGGTTTACAACCATAACCAAATGCATTTAAAGCAGCATTAAGGTAAGTCGGTTCTAAAGTTGAAAATGTGAGTAAACATGTGTTCTATGAGAATATCTATACTTATTAGAAATATTCTACACTATAAAATAATAACTTACTTGATAAAATTTGAAAATAATATAGCTGTATTCTAAAGGTTTTTAGTTATTCTATTATTTACTTATTTTCAGAAGGAGTTTGTGGAGATTTTAGAAATTTCACAGATTGAAATCATGAGTCAATTGAAGCTAGAACAGTGTGCATCCACGATACCGCGGGATTCGAACCCAAGACCTATCGGTCTCGCGTCAGGCGCTTAACCAACTAGACCACTGAACCGTCATCCAACGGTGTTAATGTCTTACTTCAATCAATCCACGAAGTTGCGCCAACATATACCATTGTCTTCAGTGAGTTGATATCTCACAACAGACCTGGTTGAACTCCACTGGTAACGGCTTCTCACTAGAACTCCAGGAGGATCTCTTGAAGTCAGTCACTAGTGAGCAGATGATTATTATCAGAAGGGGTTTGGGGAGATTTTCGAAATTTCATAGATATTTACTTATTTCTCCAAATTATTTTTAATAATATTTTCTCAAAATTTCGAAAAATAAAAAGACATTACTACATTGCCTAGGCTACAGAAGACTATTTATAAGGCTAGTAAATGAGGTATTTTACCTGGTTTAAATTTGGCTGTGAGTACATGTATAAAATCCACACAAAAAATAATAATCAGTACTATTTTATCAAATAGAAAGCATCCAATTTACACCTGATTTGCTTCTCGGTTAATTCAATGAAAAGAACAAGGCAGAAGTACATTAGAATGAATTCGTATAAAGTTGAATACTAAAGTTCCACAACAATTTACCTTGCATAAACTATGGGACGTAAACACCGAAAGAACAGAACAAGCCAACACTATAGCACCTCACATGCAATTGAGTTTATTCGCATTTAACTCAGTTAAGCCCTTCTGCTAACTTATTTAGCGAACAGAGTCATCCGCACTATAACAATTTATTGTACCTTTATTATTATCGTACTTGTATGAAATATGCATGCTTGAACATTACTTACCAGCTACGCACATATCCATTCTGCTAGCTTTATTATTAGCTGCTTAATTGATTCGATGATCTATTCATTTTCCCATATATATACATGTACATTTACACTCTACACACACTCTCGGTTCGCCGACTCACTAATTCGCCTCACTGCTCTGTGATCTGAGTTATCTGCTAATAAAATTGTAGTCACTGCTTCTCTTTGCCTTCTGATTTCAAATACCGTTGAGGATTATATGGTAACGGTTATGAGGGTGATTGGTTAACGAAGCACAGTCACTACAAGACATTTCTTAGTTGAAATTTAACAATAATCAGTCAACTGTTTTACAGATATATTTTATGATACATAAGTATGCAAAGAGATTTAAGGTAACTTCATGAAATATATTATAAAATTAATTTTTCGATGGAGCTCAAATCAATTCCTCTCTTTTATTTCTTATCTTTTAAAATCCATCTCACCTTGTGTTTACATGAAATGTAACAAATGACTAACTTAAAGTAAATACAACTATTAGTTATACCAGTATTTATACAGTTTCTTTGCAATCTTCATGATAACACAAAAGTACAGTGTGTAAATAAAAATTTATCATGTAAAGTTTTGAAACTATCAATCAACATTGACAATATATGAATAATATTTCTTTTATATATGAAAAATATATTTACCTGGACGATCATCAAAAGTCAAATGATCAAATTCTTTAGTTTTCAGAGTGTTATTCTGATTAAGCTGACAATTAGTTTGTAATTGATTATACGGTGGAAGTGAAATTTCATCATTTCTATCCTTGTCAACTGGCAAAGCGATACTTACAGGGCGTGACTGTGGATGCTTGTTAAAGTAATTTTCATAATAACGTGAATAATACTGATCTCGGTGATGATCATGAGACAAGGGATGAGATTGTTGATCGATCTATTCGATTAAAGTATAGATAAGTTAAAAATGAAACAAACCTATGAATATATAAGTCTAACTGATTTACAAAGTTATTAGTACGTAGGATTTGTGAAAATTGTAGTGTATTCACAGTCGATCTGGAAACACTGGAAAGACACCTCATCCTAATGTAGGACTTCCCAGAAGTTGCCATCCATGACATCACAACGGCAAACCGAACCCGAGATCTGTTTCGCGTGGAAACACCCGACCCCTAGACCACTGTGCCGGCATACAACAGTTCTAATGTCTAACTTCAATCAATCCATAATCTTGAACGACCCTTCATCCATAACCTACGGTGTATAGCTGTCTCACACACGACACGAATTGGAAACCATTGGTCATGGCTTTTCATAGAACCAGAGAAGCTTATATTCCATTCTATTTGGGACTATTAAACTGTTTGTATCAATGTCACACTATTGATGTTCATATTGAAACTCGAACCCAATACCTACCACTTCAAGCTCCAATACACTTTTGAATAATACATGCCTCCAACGCTCGAATATAGTCATCGACTTAAATCGTGTTAGTGAGTAACAGAATTAAATAAGTCAAATACTAGATTGGATTCCGAATACATATATTTCGTACAATTATTGATCCAGACAGACAATCAGAGAAACGAAGCAAAGGAAGCGGGGAGAAGAGAGTGAAGTGAAACGAAATGGTGCGCTGTGGAGAAAACAAGTGACCTAACTCGATTTAACCAAGAGTGAATTGAAATTTATAGCCAAACAAAAATATGTTACAGATACATAATGAGTAAGGTACGTAATTAACACAGATACGATAATCTAAAAATAGTTAGGGTTAATTAGCGAACAAGTGAAAAGGTCAAAATATAGCTTGAGAAGAATGAATAAATTAGTTTGCCCAGAGGCCCCTACACACTCGTTGAAAGTGTCAATTGTTACCTTAACTGGATGATACTTAGTTAACTACTTGAATCCTCTATTCTTTCAACTCAGGGTATTCAATGATGCTTCAAATTTCATAAACCTTAAAAAGGTGTCACACAATGGATGTTACGACACAAATCATAAAATTAAAGGAAAACTGAAAGGTAAATTCATAATCTTTTACTGTCACGAAATTTATTTTCAAATGTTTATTTTCATTTATGTATTTAAAGGCATAAATGTTGGTATAATGAGGCATCAAAATATAAATGCGCCACACAGGCCATTCAGTTTATATGCGGGCTGGAATACTGCCTGGGCGCCTAAGCCGAAGCAAGTGGTTTTCTTAGCAGGCCACTTCCCAAAACCTTCACCCATTGGCCTATTTTGCAAGGCAGCCCCACCACGAGAATGTAATCAGTAGAAGATACTTGGAAGTATTTATATACACGTTGCCATATGAGAGCATTTCGAGTAGGAGAATGAACTTTTAATGAAAAAGTGCTTAAGTGGGGGACAACCAATCTATTTTAGTACAAAATTACAGCGTTCTTTGGTCAAATGTGTAAATCATACGTTCAACACTTCATTTGAAAATCCTCCATTAATTGTCTCAAACGTTATCGTTCCTTCATTGCCGTAACAGTTGTTCTCCGTCTCCATTCTCTTACATTCGATCTCCCCAGACTTCTGCTGCCGGGCTTTTCACTTCTGACTGGTGTTACATACTACCCATTTTCACTTAATTTATTCAGTGAGTTAATGCTCCTTCCTCAATCAATCATAGTTTCTAATTAGAGCTATAAAAGCTTCGTTTTGAAAATCATTCATTAATGACTATGCAATTACTAATTATTATGCCTAATGGTCATAGTTAGTCGAAAGTAATTCTAAATCAAGGTTTTTTGCCCTCAGCACCTGTTACTACCATGAACCTGCAATATTTATGTGGAATTTATACCCACATCACTTAGTTTTATATAATGCAATCTATATTAAGTCACTTAAACTGGCTATCACAAGTGTAATAACAAAATTCGAATAAAGTCAAGAATGTTGTAACAAAAACAGCACAAAAAGAAGTTAACCCAAAATACGTATATCGAAAATGATTACATGTGTGTATGTGTGTATTTCTGTGTGAAGATAGTAGATGACAAACCGAATAGAATTAAATAATATTTTTGTCAACATTTCTTGTTATTTCCTTTTCTCAATAACTAGTCAAACCATTAAACAATCTACTATTATTCTTAATTAATTCAACTATATTTGGTGATCGACTTAAGAAAAAAACATTCTTCACAACCATCATTACGAAATGATCCTATTACAATACTTGTCAATATATATATCATCCTGAATAAGAACATAGAGAGTCCATCTAGGAGAGTTGGAAAACCCTGATTACAAACCAATGGTGCATATAGGCTTCAGTATCCTGATGAAACAAATGACGTATGAACCAATCGTTGGTCACCGGCTACCATGGGACTTCATCTCCTGACGTTACTCCTCTGCCTTGTGGAGTAGACCTTTAGATTAAAGGCTCAGGGTGTAGCGTCCTAAGAAAGCCACCTGCTTTGGTTAGGGCACCCGAGCAGTATCCCAGCCCTCACATAAATCGAATGATTTTCGTGGCTCATATCTATTTGGTGCCTCCTTGTACCAATGTTTATGTGTTTAAATAATAAATAATAATAATTTTAAACTGAACAAATTACATACCATCAGTGATTTGATGTGAACAAAATACTTTCTTGTAATAATTCATAAGATATGGATTATATAGCATTAAACTAACCGTAATTACCTCTGATGAATTGTTAGATTTTTTATCTTCATCTGTTGTAGTTTTATTTGTATCACTTCTCATAATATTAGTATTCAACGAATATGATGGAATGATTTGAGTATTTGCTGTAAAATAAAAATCGGTAAGATATAACAAAAGTTAAATTCATCAGTAATTGTTTTTCAAGAAGTAGAGTAGTATTAAATACCAGCAGCAACACTGATCTAAAAAAATCGATGTCTATATCTATTTTCCCTGGAAAAAGTTTCAGGAAATCAGGAAAAGAGGTAAAATCTTCAACTAATTAGTGCTTTAAACAGACTATCGAGATAAACCTAGAAAGTAACTGATTAAGCCTTTCTTATTTCGATTGTTTGATTATTGAACCTGTTAGCAATTTCAGCATGTTTTTCAGGAGATTCTACAACCTCCAGATTATACAATTTTATAAATACTCTCATTTATTATCCCCAGTTTAACGTTTAATGTATAGATCCATTAATACTTCTTGCCTGTTGACTTTTGTTCGGCGTTCATATGTTGAAGACTTCTGGGAATTAAGATACAAGTGAGAATTTTGTGTCTATGGATTCAAGTACAAGACTTATCAATCCAAAGATCGTTTTTTTATAGCGGGCTGACTTCGGATGGACAAAATCTGTAGATAATAGATAGTTTACACCTACTTAAACTGGATCAAACCCGAGACGATATATTTGAACCCCTAAGCAGAGATTAAATAGTGAAGATTTTTAAATTAGATCGATTTGTAATATGGTTTAGTCATCTTCCAATATCGTTGATATCATATCTACCCCATTTCTTCTATAGTTGAAATGTTTTGACTTGTTAAATCAAATAAACTAGAGGTGAGACAGTAGATCGTATTGATACTGAATAGTAGTGGTGCCAAAATGTGAACTGATTAAACACTGAATTTGAAAACCACTAAATTTCAATATAATTACTTTGCAGTGTCGTGCTCTTTGTATAACATATTGGGTTTCAACATAGTCAACATTAAGGAAATGATTATCATTTCTTGTTATAGTGAGGGCTGTAAAACTTGTTGAATTTAACCTTACATAGAACAAAGTAGCTTTTGTCAGATAAAGATTGAGAAGCAGATAACACAGCAAAGGTATTTCGTCCTAATATAGGAATCCTCGGTAGTGCTCATCTATGATCATATTGAGGACCTTTCAGGTCTCATAATGAGCGTTTAACATCTAATGAAACATTGTGACTAGTAGAAATTATTCACAGCTGGTGTAAGATAAATATCACGAATAGCAATGGATGGTGGAATCCCCATACTAAGATAAATTAAGTGTTGAGTTCTTTCTAGCTTTTAACAATACAACGTAAAAATGCAAAACTATTATTTCATTAAATAGTTTGTGAACATTCCGAAACAATCTGAATCTATAGTGAAATGATAAATTCTATAACACATCTTATTCACATTGTTTCAAAACGTTTTTTCTGTTTAGAAGAAAGAATATATGTCTTCATAAATAAATACAACTCAAGAATAGCTAACACTTTCATTTCAACAGAACAAATTACATAATTAATTACTAAATACCAATATAAACTCAGTTCTAAAAATCCAAATCCACATACAAAAAAGAATCCTCCGATTTAGACACTTTTTTGGGTTTTTCAATGGAAAACTAATTTCAACAACAACAAAATTTTGATTTGATACATCATATTGGGTGCACTACCAGATAACTGAACCAAAGAGTTAGTGAACACCTTTCGTGATTAGGAAAAGGTGTTATCAAGTCAATATGCAGTTACATTTTGTTAGGATAGTCGGAAAAATATACCAATAATTATTGTGTTAAGTCTATGGTGGCCTTGGACCTTAAATGTACATTTCCTATTGGTCGATGTTTACTTCACTTGTTAAATATTTTGTAAATGTTGTTTTCTATTTTATGGTACGATGTGGTCTGTTTGTTTGATATATAAATAGAGTATGTCTGAAATAAAATGATTCATAACTCAGAGGCTGTGACTTGTGTTCTTGACTCAACTGGCTAGGGACAGACAGCGAAGCAGGGCCATAGGTCGTCCACTACGTGTTTACGTGTTTTCCGTGTCACTGTGATTAATCGATAAATAAACGCTGCTTATCATAACCTGCAGTCCCACATCCGTTACAACACATTCTATCAAACTTGATCGACACCAGTCATGTAGTAGACAGAAATAAGTCATTTAAAGTTATTTATCGTATTCTTGATAGTTTTCCTTATGGTATTCGATCTCGTCAGTTGCACGTAGCAGGAACTATAGGAATTCGAGCCAACAATTCAAGTCATTGTGTTCATAAGTAATTTGTAACACCCTTATATCTCCCTTGGCCTTGATGGATGATTTTATTTATTTCTTTATTACTTTCCACACTTTCTCTTCGTTTATTAGTATTTCTCTCTCTACCCCCTTCTTCCATTTTATTTTATTTGAGATCAAATATACGATTTCACAGGTTGAAATCATGAGTCAATTGAAGCTAGAACACCATTGAAAACCTGGAAGCACTGGACGGCCGTTTCGTCCTAGTATGGGACTCCTCAGCAGTGCGCATCCACGATCCCGCACCACGCGGGGCTCGAACCCAGGACCTACTGGCTCCGCTCGCGAGCACTTAACCACTAGACCACTGAGCCGGCATCCAACGGTAATAATGTCTAACTTCAACCAATCCACGAAGTTGCGCCACCGTACACCATTGTCTTCAGTGAGTTACTATCTCACAACAGACCTGGTTGAACTCCACTGGTAACGGCTTCTCACTAGAACTCCAGGTCTAGCTTCAATCGACTCATGATTTCAACCTGTGAAATTTCTAAAACTCTCCACAAAACTCATTCTGAAAATATACGATTCACGGTCCAATTATATGAACACTTCTCATTACGTAATCTTATGGTTTTTATGAATGTTATTTTAGTGTCTAAATTGTTTCTAATCATTAATCTATTTCCCATTACGTAACATTGAATCAAGCCTTTATTATTCTTATCAAAACTAGTACACTTGTCATCATACTATCAATTTGTACTTTTCACTTATTTATATAATCTATTCCATTGTTATCATCATTGACTCAGAAACTACCTTGATTGGTTTTGATCATTTCGTATATGCATATAAATAATAGAGTAAAGCCTAATGAGGATCTAATTGTTCTATATATTATCATGAATTGATAAGATCATATTCAATGAAACTTCTTTCATATACATTACATTATTTAATTGTATTGATAATTAAGTGATGTTTCTCTCTCTCTTTTATTAAAAACAAAAAAACAAAACAAAAATCAACTTATTGATGATATAGTTGATCTATCCAAAAATTAGTTTTCTTTTAATTAGTTAATCTAAATTGAAAATTAAAAAAAAATTTTTTTTTTTTAATTTTTAATAAACCTAGAAATACATTGGAATACTCTAATCTAGATTTAGGAAACTTTTGGAGAAAATATATATAACATTTTTTCTCCTAAAATTTAATTAATATATTTTTGTTGTTGAGGGTTACTATCAGAATTTCAACAGTTTAAAAATCCCCATAGAATATTCAAAAATGAAGAATAGTTGAGTGAACAATTGTGTTTCAATAACTACATTATCAGACTCTACAGTTATAAGTCCATAATTATAATATTCGGATCAACTCCAGAAGACTAAATTTATGTATCCAGAAAAAATATATTCAACCACTTTGTGTTACCTTGGCTTACGACTGGATCACTGAATACCTAGACTGAATATCGTAAACCTCTTACCCCCTTCCTTTCTTTTTATTTAGTTAATTTTTTTTCCTTATTATCATTATTTTTGATTATCTCCATCTTAATCTTCACATCCATCATTCCCAATTCATTTATGGTAATTACCTTGATAGCACCCTTCTTATTACATATTATATTCACACAACAATCTTATTATTATTATCTCAATTGACAAGATTAAATTCTCCTACTACGCATTTTATTCACACAGTTTCTTTTTGCATTTTCATTTTTGCTATAATACTATTATACTTATTGTGACTGGACACTTTACTCCAAATCATCCTGACCTTTATTGAATGACCTTTCTCACTTACAAATAATACAATTTCGAAGTATAGATATATCATGCGCCATTTCTAACACATAACATTGTCAAATTCATTAATGCCATGCCTTATTTTTGGCCTTTGTAAAAAATATCATAATTATGGACTTATAATTGTAGGGCCTGATGATGAAGTTATTGAAAACAATTGTTCGCTCAAATATTCTTCATTTTTGACTATCAAAATTGTACCAAAAAAATAAAATGGCGAATTTAGTCCACAGGATTATAATAATAATAATAATAATAATAATAATAATAATAATAATAATAATAATGAACACAATCAAATAAACTGATCATAATGTAGTAATGATGATTGAAAATGAATAAGAAAACAAAATGTAAACATTGAAAATTTAATACATTATTTTTATATACTACATAGTTAATAAAGACAGCCAGTGTAGCAGCAGTCTCTGCATCAGTAGGCTTCGGCATACACAAAAGAAAAACCAAGCTCCTCAAAAACAACACGGAGAACAGCAATCCAATCACTCTTGATGGCGAAACTCTGGAAGATGTAGAATCCTTCACATATCTGGGAAGCATCATCGATGAACAGGGAGGTTCAGATGCAGACGTAAAGGCGAGGATTAGCAAAGCAAGGACAGCATTCCTACTATTGAAAAACATATGGAACTCAAAACAACTTTCAACCAATATCAAAGTGAGAATCTTCAATATGAACGTCAAGGCAGTTCTACTGTATGGAGCTGAAACTTGGAGAACTACAACAACCACAATCAAGAAAGTACAGGTATTTATAAACAATTGTCTACGCAAGATACTCAACATCCATTGGCCGGATACCATCAGCAATAGCCTTCTGTGGGAGAGAACAAACCAACTTCCAGCTGAAGAGGAAATTAGGAAAAGACGATGGGAATGGACAGGACATACACTACGCAAATCGTCAGACTGAATCACGAGACAAGCCTTAACTTGGAATCCTGAAGGGAAGCGAAAAAGAGGAAGGCCAAAGA